CCCTGTTCTGTGCTGTCCTCTTTGGCTGACCCCACAATTAAGCATAGGATATCATTTACTCCATATCACCCTCGGACGCCCCACTCGGCGGCCTAGAACGAGATGTTACCCGACGGTCTCCTCAGAGTGTACCCAATCCATATCCATTCTCTTTGGCGTGTTTCCTGAGCAGTAGGTTCTTGATTAGTTCGTTCCCAACGTATCTTGGTGTATTAAAAGCACAGATAGGGGAAATAATTCGTGGAGTGTAACGGTTTTCTTAAATCACTACAAAAGAAAGCCTACAAAACTCTGCAGCTAGATAATTCACAACCTGAAATGAAGTCAGCTTTGAAAAATTTTACACATCATCTTTGAGTTCGGTTCTTTACGAAAAATAAACAGGTGATGGTTGACTAATGAGTCAGTGGCACACCACCGAATATTTAGACAGAAACATGTTTATTACTCAGCATTTTGCTCTTACAACCCTTCTATGTCTTGTTACACAGGTTCGCGATTCCAGTTATGCTAACATTTCCTCTATGATTTCCCTACAAGTGGCTCATTCGCGCTTTTTCATAAACTTTCAAATACTCCTTCTGGGGTGGTGAAATGGGATAACTAGGAAGAAGAAACGACAAAACTGATAATAAATATTTGTATTTAGGAAATGGGTATCCACATTATTATTATTATTATTTCCTTTAATTCCTAGAGGAACATAGGGTTTCAGCCGCGCGTCTCCATTGCGTTCGGTTTTCTGCCAACTTTTTCACCCCGCTCCAAGTCTGCCCACACGCTTTCATCTCCTCTTTACATGACCTCCTCCAAGTCACCCTTGCACAGACGACCAACTCGCCGCTTCCCTTTCGGATTCCACTCGAGCAATGGCTTGTCTAGTGATGTCACTTGATGGTTTCCTCAGAGTATGGCCAATCCAATCCATCTCAATTTGTTCCTGCCTATTTGTTTCACAATCGGTTCCTGGTTGGTTTGCTCATCGCCAGAGATCCCTGTTTCTGATCTTTTCTGGCCATCTGATCTTTAGTATCGAGCGAAGGCAATTGTTGATGGAGGTCTGTAGTTTGTTTGAGATGCTCTTTTTGACGCGCCAAGTCTCTGATCCACATCATAATCAGATACAAAATTGTGTTCATGTAACGATTACTTAGGTTAGCCTATTTTTGCAGTGAACCTAATTACATTTCCAAAGAAATAATCTAACAGTAGCCAAAGACCATAGTGACTGAAGATTGTATATGTAATCGTTCCTCAAGATTTCATTTCCAGCCTTCCTGACACTGAAGTCTCTTTTGGCAAATTAATGTTACTGAAAAAGTTTGTCTCAGGTTTAAGAACAACCTGCCGTTATTGTACGTGAATATTATACTTTCATACGGATCAGAATTTTGATCAGACCAATATATATATATATATATATATATATAGTGTGTGCCTTGTTTCGTCGATAAATCAAGCTGATAAACACCATACTTAAACTTTAATCTTAAATAGAAGAATGAGATGCGAAAATCAACAGGAGTGCAAAAAGTAAAAATAACCGGGCCCCTGGCGATCAGAAAATTACTACCGAGAGAATTTGAACTCATCATATGCAGTTGTTTTCTACGCTTATACCGTTTGTTCAAGGTGAATAAAAATAAAAATGGACATCTGGATCACAGCAGCATTCTAGTCAGCTGAGCGATGCCTGTCAAAAACTAGATTCCTATTGTGTCCCCAGTCATCACCAATTACATCTGTAGCTGTCTGCCAACTCAGAACTATCCCCGATAACCTCACTATCAATATTCTTTAAGTAAAAGAATTATTTCAAAGTGGTCCTTCTAATATTTTTATTTCCACGCATAACTTAAACTTATCAAGAAGGAACATCGATGGAAGTTAAAGTCTCGGAACACTCGAGACCGAGAAAAGTCTTAATCTAAACAACCTATAGTCTTTGTTCATAGAGTACTAATATGATTGTGTTTATGCTTTCTTGTGCTTAGTACAATTAATCAAAAAAGCTATTAAATTAAGATGATGTGTGACTGATAGAGTAAGTTTGAAGTGAACCACATTTGATAAGAACACATCCATAAAGTCTTCAGTACTGTTAGGACTTCACAGGTACATCACTTACTAACCATAAATTTGCCTGACACTGCTAGATATCAGCAAATTCAAAAGCCATGAAACCCACCAAAACTCTTCAAACAGTTTCCACAACAAACTATACCAACTGTCTCACAGCAAACCATCTTATTTCCTATATTAGTAGTAGCAGTAGTATATATATATATATATATATATATATATATAATGCACAGCCTTCAAAATGTCCTGAGTATATTAAGATGTCCTATTGTTGAAGCCTAGTGTTCTGAAATGAAAGTGGTAGTAACGCAAGTAAACTAAAAAATCACTCCTAAGAGACAAATTAGCATCATTATTATGCATTTACCACACCAAAATTAGTTTCAAAACACTATTAAACCAAACCTCCATCATTTGCTGAGTTTAGTCGATATAAGTATAAAACTTGGGCACTCTGGTACACTATAACTCTGTTATGCCCGAAACGTCATCAGTAAATATTACTGTACAACAATGTGTGATTTATCGAAATGAAATCTTATCCATAATGGAGTTATTAGCTGAGTTTATCGAAAATCCGATGAGCTTCCGTCTGTTTTCAAAGCAAGCTTAATGAATAGAGGATATCTGTCTTACATTAGTTTTATTTCGTCTTCTGCACATACTTTCCTACGCCTAATTCAGTTGACGGAAATATGTCAACCAGGTAAATGTCCTGAAGAAGCTATTTGCACGTGGAAGGTGAGAAACTCATTCAACCATTTCCTAATCACCAGTCAAAATGATCGCTATCCAAATAAGTACTGTAGAAGCAATAACAACTTTTAACTAAAACCTCATAACTGCAACCATGATAGAAACATGAACAGTATGTTACATATCTGGCTGTTTCCATAAGTTCAGAGTTAGTACTGACTTGAAAACGGATACCTATTTTCGTAGGCGACCAGTAACATCCGTTCCGCAAACAGCAATCTAACAGTATTGCCTAAGTGCTTTTTCGTCTTTGTTAGACAAGCTATAACGAAATCCGAATGTTTAGCATCTTTCAATGAAACAGTTTTGTACATAATTGATCCTATGCTTCATCTGAGCTACTGTGAATGTGTAAGAGAAGACTACAAATACACATTGGTGAGTGAAGACTTATTCTATCTCTGTAAGGGCTATTTAAGGTAACACAGCGAATGTTGTTGTCAAATAGAGTGTGCCACAGTGAGGACCTCCTTGCCCTAGGACTTGATATTACACCTTAAATTTTAGGTCTGAGAACTTGTTATTGTACCTCCAGATACTGAAAACAGTGTCTGACTAATAAGTCTAAGTAAATGACTATATTTGGATTTTGTCTCACAACAAAAGATTAAATATTCCGAGTGCTATGTGGTATTTTTGGTTGATTAAGCACAAAATACGCACACTTGAAGCTAAAATGTGTAGTTTGGTGCTCAGCATCAAGAATGTATGTGCTTTTGCACTAAACTGAATCACAGAAGTCCGCTGCAGACCTGAAAGTTATAAATGATGTACACTTGGTAGGAAGAAACACTAGGAAATAATTAAGTGGTTGGTGAACAAAAAGGATTTGAAGTTTTCGGATGACTACACTATAGGTATTATCATCTTGTTGTAGCTGAAAAAAAGAGTTCTTTGCGTATGACTGCTTGAGGTTAGCCAAATGAAATCTATTCGAGGGCTTTATAAATCAGACAGTCAAATCTAATGGTGATGGACAACCACAGCATGATTCAAAGTAGTGTTCTCAACACCTCCCGGTGGTGCAGACTGTAATTGCGACTATTCAGTTGAAATTATGAGCTGCCAACAAATCTTGACTAAACCAGAACAGTAAAACTGCAACATCCAAAATTCACCAACCTTAACTACTCACAGCAGTATGATACGCAGCAGTGTAGAACAGACACTTCCAAAGAAGCACAGCAGTCAGGTACTGATATTAATTTAGATAAGTGGTCCTATGTTAACATCACTAGCTTATGTCATCACAAATATTAACGGTTAGCAGTTATGAGGACAAGCAGTAAGGTGCAGATATGCGAGGAGATAAGAGAAAACAAAGATTAGACGAAGACTTCCGTTCAGTCTACGAACACGTTGATGTAAACGACTGCGGAAAGGACACAAGCAAAACTCACAGCTATGGGGATATAGTGAGTTTGAAGACCACACAGTTCTTGAAAGTTCCTCTTGCACATGCTTCTTAATATGTGAAAAGCTCCAACCTAGTTGGTAGGAAAAGACTACAGCAACCAACTTTATGAAGTTAGACCAAGCAATCGGAACCCTACCATTCAACCAGAGGAATGGACTTCAACGGATCTGTACATTACATCCTGCTTATTTTACCCCCCCCCACCCCCATCGATCCCCGATGAACTAATAAGGAGTCTATGACAACTCAAGCAGCTATTTTGGCTTACAATATATCACAACCGTGAGAGAAGGCTTTTCTTTTAACTACATATTGACAACAACCATACAAATGAACATAACAACCTTTTAGTGCGTCAACACAAGCGAAAAGTATGCATATTGTTACCTTTAGACCTGGTTTTGCATAACAGGTTGAATGAACACCATTACGACCACGATTCTGCGTACCTCAAGATCATGTACATCTGCATATTAGTCAATATATCATAATGTCGTTGCACACACCTAGAGACTCCTTAGTGCTTGAAGCTAAATGTAGTGTACACTACAGTTCAATAGCTTGGAGTTCATGAATAGGCAATTATAACCGTAAATCACGAAGGCTTAGAGGGACTTGTTAGTGTCGTACATATCGCAATAGACTGTAAAATATCTTCGCACACACGCGATTAGTCCAACACCATTAGTCTTAAATTACTAGCACGACAATAACCATCATGAAAGACAAACATTGAGAACTATGATTGGATCGAATTTAGACGTATATTTCCAATTTATTTCATTCTCACTGACTTAACAATGCACATCATTTCTTCCCTTTTTCTCTTGGCTCTTCTGTGACCTCCAATTCGTCGCTTGGCAAACTTTAGAGCTCTCTTTTCCTTATCGTTCTTCAGCAATTCAAGCATTCTCTTTTCAAAAGGTGCGAAACCAACAACTTCACGGATCAGACTCCGTGCGAACTTAGCTTGTTTTGATATACGCTAAACAATAGTTCAATAAATAGAGACAACTTACTCCTCTCCTGTTTGATGGCTTTTTTGGTCGAACATTCTTAGTCTTCTTCAATCCCTTCTCTCTACCAACACACACGGGATATTTCCGTATCGTCACCATACTCACGCAGCCCGGAGTAGCGCAAGAATTAGTAGTACCGCCGAAGACCTATTATAACACAGAAGACATGATGCAGTTTTCAACTACCTAAAATTTCATATCCAGACGTCGAAACACGAAATCAAGGTGTTAAAAGACTCTCTATAGACACTGATTATCCATGAGCCTGAAATTTAAAGCTGTATTGTATCAACAACACAACTACAAAGTGTCACCAGTAACATTGAAACTAAAAGTTTGACTACTGGTGTCAAAGGAAAAGACAGCTTGTTTATCTGTTATTTTCATCACTTTCCACATGCCATTTCGTCTAGATTCGTTGTTCATATATGATAGACCTAGATTGATGTCAACGATTACGTCGCGATGGCTTGAACTCTTGTCAACCTGAAGCTTCCGCTTATGTCTTAACCGAACGACAATCATCAATTTCAAATACTTGTCTTATTTTTGGATTTTAGGATCTCACTCCGCAGCACCAGTCCGCAATCCCTGGGTAAATAGTACATGGGACGCCTATGCCTCTATCTGAAGTATGGACTGCCAGCTTCATACGCCTCTCGATGGACTGCTTCAGCATCCTTAAATCCCCACGACACCAGAGACGTGTTTACGAAATGGTGCCAGTTTCACAGTGGCAGGACTAGTGAAACGGACTTTCTCAACATTGGTAGTCGGAATTTTTCACCCTTTATTTTTTCTGTTGCTGTAGACACCATCATTTTTGAAAATGAATAAGATTCCAGAATGGCTTGTGGTTAACGTTGTAATTTGCAGTTATTTTGATGTAGTTGTGTTCTCTGAGCTGGACGGTCTATCTGCTGTCACCCATCTGATCTGCAGGTTCTCTCCGTTATACATAGCACGCAGTTATTTTCAGCCGCTGTTCCCGTTGTGAGGAAGGATTTTCAGTAATAAATTCCCGAGATATGTACTTCAAAAGGATTTATTCTGAAGCGTCTTACCTTTCCTGCAACTTTGGTATTTCCTGAGTGAAAAGCACTGCAATACCCAGAAATCATAGTCTTTAAATAAACACAGACTAGCCAATCTTAGTTTTTCCACTGTCAATGTAGTTGAAGATTGAACGACCAATTCGTGGTTGTTTGCTCAAACCCAACTCTATATTTTGACGGGAGTCATCGATACTGCATTCATCGTTTCATCGTTCGCTGTCCGTTGGAAGAAAGAGATAACTATCAGAAACTTTGCGTACAATAACCTAATGGTTGGCTCTGTATTGGTGCAAGAATAAACGGTTCTTGAGTCACCAATTTGTGTTCTGGTTTATTGCGTTGGTTATTGGGCATAGCTCCTGAAAGTCTTACAAGGACAGTGTGAAGTCCAGTGTAGTTAGATCTGGACATTGACAGTTTCTGACAATTCTCTTGGAATTATTCATCTTATTTGTTGTCAACTCGTCTTTCCCTGCGTCTGCAAGTCTTCTTTGCACAAGTGTCGTTTGGAACTCTTCTGGATCTTTTGGTCAAGTTCAGTAATGCCTAGGTCAAAGAAAGGATAAAACGTTTGGGAAGCAGACAGGAAAGTAAGTAATGCTGAGTTGCCTGCTACATGTAATGATGTGTATGATGCTAAGCATGATTAGATTGATCTCGATGTTTCGCCGTCTAGGGATAATAGGAAACTTAAACTGCCTAAATATGAACCTTGGTGTTTCGACGGAAACCCAGCTGACTATCCACAGTTTCTAAAGGAGTTTGAAATCATGTTGAGTGGGCTTGCAATAAATGATGAAATGAAGTTGATGTATTTGATGAGGTACTGCACTGGAGTTGCTTCAAGAGCTATACAGTGCTGTAAGGTTATGAAGCCAAACAAAGGATACTCTGAGGCTATGAGTATACTGTGTCGAAGATTCGGAAGACCTTCGATGATTGCAAGGAATGCATTTGAGGCTGTTAAAGGTAATAGTAGTCAATTACAAGATGACTTGGAGGCACTCTCTGAGTTTTTGGATAATCTGATGACTTACAAGAATACGGGGATTAAGATGAATTGCATGAGCGATCTGAACCCAAGTTCCGTCCTAGAGGTAATAGCGAGACGCCTACCTACTCGACTGCAAAGGAAGTGGGTGAAGATAAGCTCTCGTATAGAGGATGAAGGTATTGAGTCAAAGTTTGGTGATATTCTGAAACTGGTAAGAGAAAGTGACAACCAAGCTATGAGCAAGTTTGCCAGTATATTGCATCCAACCTCTGGAGTAGAGAAGTCAGAGAGTGAAACGCAATCATTGATGACGAAAGGGTCTCAGAGAAGCAGATATCGAAAAAGACTTATGGTGTCTAGTAATCCATATAAACTTAGTGAGCGTAACAGCTTTCGTGGGACATCCCCCACAGATAGGTTACAAGTTGCGAGACAAATAAGATAGTGTTTTACACGTTTGCAAGTGGTGCGTACAAAGGAAATCCGTGGAGAAGTGACCAAGTTCAGTGGTAAGCTAAATGTGAAGTCAGAGTCATCAAGTTCTGACCTTGAATTATGTGACGATAATGATGTGGTGAAGAAGCCTGTAGTTGCAACTGGTAAGCCATTGTTGAGTAGAGTGTCACAAAAGACAACGCAGTCTGTGCAGAAGAAGAGAGTCACAGTTTCAAAGTCCAGTTGTGACCCCGCAGGTTTACAAATTATTACTAGTCAGCGTAAAGGTGTGGAACCTGCAAGAATTTATGAGGAGGAACCCAAATCATCTACTGCTGTTATCAAAGAGTTTCAAAATGATGAAGTCGACCAGATAGATGACAAGAAATTGAATATTTGTGATAGTGATCATGATAGTGCAGATTTGTCTTTGGTTGATCATTATGAGATGAGGGATATGCCTACTACTGCTAAGTTGAATAAAGGTTCTGTACAACTACAACGTGAAGTAGAAATAAATGCAGATGCAGTTGCAGAAGGCATACATACTTGTGAGACCGTCAGTGTGATTGATCAGCATGTAGCCCACCTATCATAAGATGCTGTCAGTCACGTCTCGTAAACCATTAATGCCCAGCTCTTGCTACGCTCGGGCTCACGCTGTCGCTTGAAGTTTCTCAGAAACGCTTAGTAATAACGGACGAAAAAACCAAAACACCAATTGTTGGCTTGAGTACTCTGTATTGTTACACCAACATATTAATCAAGTATGACTAAGGTCTGTGAACAAATATTACAATAATAAATCATAGTATTACTTCTGATGATGTTTCACTCTTCTTTCTGAACAGCGATCGACGAGACGATGACTGTCGTATTGATGCCTCCGCGAAAATTGGGGAAGTTGATTTTGAGCAAACAACCAAGAATTGATCAATCAATCTTCAAATCCATTGACAGATGCTATTGCTAAACCTGAGCTGATAGTAAAAGACAGCAGTGGTGGTAATCTTGCAGTTAGACAACTATCTGAAAGCCGAACAACAGAAGCTTCTGATCCACCGCTGATTTCATCAACTGGTATCAATCAGTTGCCGTTGGTGTTGTCATCCACAATGAGAAGCACGCTTATCAACTCAATTGTCTTGTGCAATGACTATGATAGTACTGGTGCATTTGAAAAGACGAAACATATTGCTCGGCTTAGTGAGAATAAGCCGAGTGTGTACAAGAGGGTAATTGTTAAACTGACTTGCACGAATAAGGGCATTTCAAGTTTCAAGTTACTATTTGAATGTTATTAACTTTGGTGTAAATTGCTCTGTAACTACGCTTGGTTGACCAGATACGTCGTGTGTTTTTTAGTCATCTACATTCCACGATACAATGTCATGGGTGTGTCACCGTTCAGAGTTGAGCATATAGATGATAGGTGGTCAGAAAATGAACTCTGCGATGATTTTCCAACCTAGGGCATCAACCTGAGAAGGGTTGTAGGCGTACGGCTTTAAGTCCTACAATTCTTCAAAGGGTAGCGCATCAATAAGCGGCCCAACGAGCTCGGTGTGTGATTTTGTACATATGTTCATGTTGTATATACTGAATTGGTATCATCTTTCATCTATCTGTTGATAGTTTTGTTTGTGTACGGACGTCTTCCACTTGTATCATCAACTTGAGAAGGAATGTTGGCGTACTGCTGTAAGTCCTGCAATTCTTCAGGGGTAGTTTGTCATGCCGGAATCCACAACATTTGATGTATTGATTGTACATGTTTGTGTTAAATAATTAGGCAAGTTCATCGTCGTATTTCCGAACATCATCCAACGTGGTTAAGTAAGGGACGAAAAAGATCTATTCGTGGCTCTATTTTAGCCCACCTCGTTGATACTGACCATAAGATTGATGTTAATACAGCACTTAAAATTATTTAACGCATTCCGACTTATCTTAATTTTGCTCTGCGAGTTCGTCTTCTACAGACGGCTGGGGCGATTGGCATTCATCTGAAGAAGCCAAGCCTTTGTGTACAGAAAAATTTGTACAGCCACTTTCCCTACCGTGGCTATCGTTACAAGAATGGATAAACAGGACTGCGTCACCCCCTTCCCCTAAACCTATAAAATTATATTTGTCTAAATTGTTTATTTTATTTTATTTATTTTGACCACTTCATCTTTAATTTACGTGTTATTCTTGTGAAATTAATTTATTCTATCTATTTCCACCGTTTAAATCTGTATTGATTTTCTACGTTAACTATTAACGCGTTGACACTGTTTAATTATTGTTAGCAAACTTATCGCCACTTGATTGGCAAACTGTTGTATTGTAATTAAAATGCTATGGATATATATTAGAGTAGAGCCAGAGATGAGGATCTAATTGAAAAGTAAATATTTCTTCGCTCAATCTTTCTGTTTTCTAAATATCTAAATAGGGATATATTCTCTATTTAAATAATTGTGTGAGTTCCAATTATTGTAATTGTTGGTTAATATTGTTTGTGTCCGGACATTCTTCAACCTACAATCGCCAACCTGAGAAGGGTTGCAGGCGTACTGGTGTAGGTCCTGCGATTCTTCAAAGGAATTCCATCGAAACACGATCTGCGAGTTTGTGTGTGCTGTTTATATATATGTGTGGTGTGTCATATCAATTGGTGGTTTTTGGACTCACTGCGTTTACTTGTTGTTTTCGTATCTTGTTGTTAAGCATAATTTTGTCAAAATTTTTGTCGTGCTTACTTCTGAAGTTGTTTCTAGTCTTCTACAT